CTAGTGCAAGAGGGACGACCCCTAGCCTATCTCAGCAAAGCACTAGGTACTACCCGGTTAGGACTATCGGTGTATGTCAAAGAGATGCTAGCCGTTGTCGAGGCTGTAAGATGCTGGAGGCCTTATTTATTGGGTCGACGTTTTCGGATTTTTACTGACCAACAACCGCTTAAGCACCTATTGGAGCAAAGGATCGTTACCCCCGAGCAACAGAAGTTCGTGTCTAAACTAATGGGGTTTGACTTCGAGATAATCTATCGACCAGGTCGACAGAATGCCGTAGCCGACGCACTATCCCGACGGACAGATATGGCTGAGTTGAGTGCTATCACTGGGCCTACTTGGGCCATCTGGGAAGAGATCAGGAAGGCGCAGGCAGATGATACCCATTGCCAGGAGCTGCGCCAATCGATAGAAGCGGGTAAGACAACTGCTATCGACTACGAGTTGCATAATGGTCTACTTCTACACCGGGGTCGAATCTATGTCCCCGACAATGGGCAGTTACGCGAACAGATCATGCAACACTTCTATTACTCTAAGGTTGGGGGCCACTCGGGTATCTATCGCACATCGATGAGAATAGCCAACACCTTCTTCTGGCCCGGGCAACAGAGTACCGTCCGAGATTACATAGCTCGATGCGATGACTGCCAACGCACTAAGTCTGATTCACGACGACCAAGTGGGCTATTGCAACCACTACCAGTACCCGAGGCAATCTGGGAAGACATCACGATGGATTTTATCGAAGGGTTGCCAAATTCTAATGGATTTGACGGTGTTATGGTTGTGGTGGATCGTCTCACCAAGTATGCTCACTTCATACCCATTACCCATCCTTACACCGCGAAGTCAATTGCTAAATTATTCGTGGAGTACGTAATGAAACTGCATGGGGCACCTCGATCCATCGTCTTTGATCGAGACCGGATTTTTATGAGCAGCTTTTGGTCTGAATTCTTCAAGTTGCAAGGGACTAAATTGTCTATGAGCTCAGCCTACCACCCACAGACAGACGGACAAACGGAGGTAACCAACCGAACCCTTGAGCAGTATTTGAGGTGTTACGTCCATCAGTTCCCAAAGCGGTGGGAAAACTTTTTACCATGGGCTGAGTATTGGTACAACACCACTTACCACGAGTCGACCAAGATGACGCCGTTTGAGCAGGTATGCGGACGCAAACCCCCGACGTTGATCAACTATTCAGAGGGAAGTACGGTCAACGATGAGGTAAGACGAGAACTCGAGGAGCGAGATCTAATGTTGAGAGAGCTGAAGAAAAATCTCGAAGGTTCGATTAACCGAACCAAGGCCTTCGCTGATGGGAAGAGGCGAGAGGAAAATTTTGTACCTGGAGAATACGTCTATCTTAAGCTACGACCATTCAGACAGCGCACAACAGCACAGAGGGCCGCAACTAAGTTGGGCGTTCGTTATTATGGGCCATATCAGATTCTGATATTGTTCTCTATCAGCGAGGGTTATTCGAGAGAGCACCCAGTTGGAAGGCGAGTTTCGAGCTATGGTGGATAGGTTTGCCTCCTTGAAAGAGGTGGGCCTCACTCTCGTTTATGATGGAACACAATCTCTCCACACGAGTGAGGACATCGACGATTTAATTGTCAAAGAAATTCCCTCTCTCGACGATTCGGCCATGCAATCCACGTTAGGTACGTCAACTCTTTCTTTCGGTGATAGTGCTTTGAGCTTTGATTCTATTGTTGAGAGTGAGCGTATAGATTCGGGTGTTGATATGGTGTATGGTATGGGGGAGAATTCATTTGAGGGTTCGATTGTGTCGAACGGTGTTGATAGTGTTCGGGAGGATGATATTGAGGAGGAGGATGTGGTAGTTGATGATTTTGTGGATGTTACCGAGTGGAATGTGAGATACGTCCAAATCAAGGAAAGAGACCACGGTAGATTCGAACTTCGTAAGTGTGACTTGAAGAACGGATGGAATGGGAATACACCTCCAACTATGAAACTCCTCAATGATCGCCATGAGGCTCGCAAGTGCCTCTTGAGTGCTCGTCAAAATCTCTCGGTGACGCTCGGTAGGCTCAACCGTTGTTGGACTTGAAGCTTCGGTCCTCGGTGTACAAGGTTGGCCAACCGATAGGTGCTCAAGTGATGGAGAAGATGGCACATGGGACTCGGATTCTTCTTTCTCGGATATGGGAGCCATGGAAGCTCGAAGGGATCGATTGCACTCCTCTAAGTGCTCCATAATCTCGGCTAGATTGACTCGAGAAGCCTCTCGAGTCAGCTCGGGCGGAGGTGTCTCTTCATAATAAACGGGAGGTGGCGGATAATAGTGAGGCGTCTTGTCGTGACCCGGAGAATAATAACCAAAATCAACTTGCGATGACGGGTAAGAAGGGCTCGGATATGGATAAGTCGGCCCTCCATACGAATACATCTCCTCATGATAGTTGTCGGGGCATCCACGAGACGAGCTACCGGCATAAGCATAGCCATACGGATCCATCGGAGCTCCTCAAGCGAAATACCTCGCACAAGAAAAACAAAAAACAACCAAGGCACACGAGGCAAAGGAAAGAAAACACAAAACGAAACTAACACGACATGATATGTACACGAACACACAAAGCAAAAGCAAGAGAAATCGAAAATAAGTAAATAATCAAGAGAAACACGCAAAAACAAGCAAAATCCACAAAAAGCAAGAGAAACGCGGAAACAAACGACAACTAGATAGTAAACTTGGCATCCTACCCGCCTTCCCCGGCAACGGCGCCATTTTGTTGAGTAGATTTTTGGGCATGTGGTAACCGAGGTACCCGACTCGGGTCGTTCTCAAAGGAAGGCTCTTCGGAGCTTCGTTCGCTATCTAGTCGTCAAAATCACACAACCGAAAAGGTCCTAAACATTCTACTCGCAATTTGAGGGAGGGGGGGGGGTTGAATTAAACACTACTTGCAATTGGAAATCGAAAGCAAATGAAAACTTAAAAACAAAGTTGAGAGCTTTAGGTCAACCGTGGTCTCTATCACTCGAACCAACACAAAAAGAACTGAGGGACATCAACATTGCCGAGTGATCCTAGGTCATTAAATCGAGCTTTCTACTAAATGACTACACTTTTACACAAAGTCACAATCTTTAAACAAGATAAGCACCAACTAATCCCTAACACACGTCGACGAGCTACAAGAATCGAACATTCCTCCAATCAACAAGCAAAACCACATTCACCTTGAAACACATCATAAGCAAAAAAGGGCAAATTCAAAGTAATGAGGATTAAAGCTAATTACCCACTCTCCTAATGCATGTGTGAAGAACATCGGATGGAAAAGTTCGAAACTTGAAATAAAATGATGTCGCCGGAAACTTGCCGGAAAATATGAGTAATAGAACCCCTAACCTAAGCATAAAAAGGAAAAAGAGAAATAGAGAGGATTTTCCCAACTTAAAAGTTGGGAAATGAGGGTTATGTCCCAAAAATACAAAGCATAATGTCTTTATATAGCTACACCACAAACACACACTAAAAACATGCACATTTAATAGGACACTCTCGAGGTCGCCACAGAATTCGCGAGCTCTCCGCAAGGATGCACGTGGGCGCGGCACTCTCGACGTCGCCATGTCTTCCGCGTGGTCGCGCGCGTTGTGGGCAATGGCACCGCGGCACTCTCGAGGTCGCCGTGCTTTCCGCGAGCACGCGGCATGCGCTGGGCACTTGGGCAACTACACTCTCGAGCTCGCCATGCTTTCCGCGAGCTCGCGGCGTGCGATGGGCGCTTGGGCAGCAACACTCTCGAGCTTGCCATGATTTCCGCGAGCTCGCGGGTGTGCTACGATCATGGCCCGTTGATCTTCGATTCGCCCTAACTTCTCGCACACAACTCCGATTCGCACGAAATTTGGACCAAAATTCTCATCATTGAATTCTCTTCGTCCCGTTATGGCTTGGTCGGATTTTCCAGGTTGGACGGCTCGGTCAGCTCAGACGGCTCGTCTCCTCATTCTCGACACATTGGACCTATTCAACACCAAAACAAAAGAGAAAACGCGCAAAAATACGAAAACACTATACAATAACAAAAATACACAAAACATGATAAAATAGACCGGTCGACACTAAAAAGAGCCTAAAACTAATAAAATAAAACACACAAAACACACGAAAATAACGACAAAAACACAATAAACACTCATGTTGGCTTATATGGCTTGGCAAATTCATACTATATCTTGAACCATATTGTCTCACTTAGACATACTAAGGTCCTTCTCACTTCTTTGCACATTTTTAACTTAAATGGTCACGGATACTTATCCGTACTCGAGACTTAAATTATCTCGACTTCTCTCGAGGTTTATTTCCTAATTTTCTCTCGATAAATCTTGGACTCGATTCTTGTCTCGTATCATTCTCATTTTACTTATCTCATTCAAACTAGGAATGACCAAGTTTACGGCCATTTAGCTAAATAAAATGGACCATTACTTGAACTTGAACTTTATCTTAAATAACTTATTCTCTGAAAGCTATTGTTGATTATTTACTGACTTACTGACTTACTGTCTATATAATTATATGGGGTATGACAATTTATCCTCTTAAAATATTTCCGTCCTCGGAAATTCAAAACTATATCATACTGAAGTCAAACATAAAATTTAAAATTCGGATACTGCTTCTGAATCTCATCCTCGTTCTCATAAGTCACCTCGGCCTCGCCATGGCTACTCAACTAAACTTTAACGAACTATACTTTCCGATTCCTCAATTGATAGACCTTCCGGTCCAAAAGTGCTACATGTATTTCTCTCAAGTTCTCCTGACCTGAAACTTGTTATATTTTATTACTTATTCAGAATCGTGCAAATATCTCATCAACAT